ATCTCCTTGTTTCTTGCATCTGACAGGCAAGACACCAAAGGTGGAAAGGTAGGGTGGTGGTGGTAGGTTGGGGGGGCGGGCGGGGCAGAGAGAGACAGGAGTTGCACTGAACCAGGGATTAATTATCAAACTTTTCTTTGGGGAACATTTTTCCGGATTTTTTGCCCCTCACAAAAACTTTTGTGTATTAACTCCCCCTTTTGTGTTTCAGGGGTGTGAATAATTTTGGGATTTTTTGTGTGTATTGACTCCCCATTTATTATTCGCAACCTAACATTAAGTCATTCCCAACTCTTCCCGGCTGCGCGCACCCCTGGCTTCCCAGGTCCCTGCTTCACTTCTTCTCTGATCAGGTGCTGAAATGTTTCCCGGAAGGAAATACGGCAACACGGCAACCCTGGGCCCCGCTAACATGATCACTTTGCGCAGTTCTTATGTCAGCTTTCCATGCACAGTCCAGAGCAAAAAAAAGATCCAATTGCTGGACTCCAAATTGGCGACGCGGAAGCCTCAACGAACCTACTAAGCTTACAGGCTGAAAACAATGGTGGGCCTTGACTGGAGTCATGAACGAATCTTCCAACAAAACCCTTCAATTTTGAGGCTAGTCGGGCATGAGCGAAAGTCTGAAGGTGTTTCTCCTACATCCTGCCCGCTGCCAAATACCCCAAGGCTGGGTCTTTTCCGGATAATCTCTTGCTACCTTGGAACATGGTCGGCGACTTTCTTCAGCGAGCAGCGTAAGCGCAGGAAACATCCTTCTCAAGCTGTCCTTACTTGGTCGACGCTGATTGGTTATAAATGGGGTTAGACACCGAAGGTTGGATTTCAGGTGTGTATCACCACATCTGTTCAGCAACGGACATGGCCAACTGGCTACAAACGCCGCGGTCCTCCATGGACTTCATCATGGCTCTCATTTGTGCCTCATGCTCCACCTGCGACCGGTGACAAAAGCACTATGAAGCACCGTGGACCACAGTCCGAGGATATGTCTCCTAACCTGGGCTGCCCTCAGATCCCCCGCTAAAAGGTTAACTTTTAGTGGGTTGAATGGAGACTACCACTAAACACTAAAAAGCTGAAAGGCTACGGGGATAGCTGGGAGCCACCAAGTAACTAGTTACCTAATTGAGCCAGAGCTATATTTCTGGCACGGCGACAAGAAGGAGGGTACGACTTGCCAGTTTACTCGCATACAAACCTAGGGGTGCACTTTCACGGGTGGGCTGGGGTTGCCAAAAACGAGGATTGCTGTTGGGGCGCTGCATGGGTTGTGATTTACTGGCTTTTCTCAGGAGGTCTTCAAAATGCCTCACCACGTTAACATCATTCAACGTTTCAAGCATCTTCGTACCGCGCAAATCCCCGATGGTGATCACTCTGCCAAAAGAATAAAGGATTGCAATGGTCGGCTAACACACAACTTGGTGGGTTTACTTTTAAGACAAACAAACAAGCACGGAACATGAAAGGTTACCTGTAGAAGCCAATGGTCCGCAGAGTTCATGTGTGTTTTAGGAATGGCTGCTAGATCCTCATGAATCACTGCCCAGAATAAGAAATAGTTCCCCGAAACTAAACAACATAATCGCCGGGGCGGAACGAAGAAACATGATAGGGAGCATTTGTAACCTAGTGGGTGTCACTGCTTTGTGCCAAATGCGCATTTGTTTGGGAAAGGCAGGAGGTGGTCATTGCCTGATTAATTTCTGAGACAACCTTTCAGTGAGGAAACCAAGGCACATGTTAAATTCTACTTGATACAAACAAATACAGAAGAAGAACATGTCCAGGGGCGGGCAGTATTAAGTGATTCAGTGCTGGTCTAGCATTGGATGTAACATGTCTCCTAATGCGACTGGAGTTGGGGTGTCTAGTATTGGCTAATTGTATCTTAGCATTGGGAGATTTAGGGTCTGGCAGAAAGTGTTTACTAATAGGGTGCAGCAACAAAACAGGGGACAGCATTAGCCAAATTCAAATAAATCAGATGCTGCTACATCCTAAGCAGAAAGCCACACTATCAGCTTTTGAGCAATGCACGTACTGGAACGCTTCAAGCTCCAGTCACATCAGCATCGTGCTGGAAAATACTTTAAGGGCTCCGGGTTACATCTGCAGGAGCCGACGACGCGAGGAAGGTGCTCGTTGATGTGCTTGAACTGAGACTATCTGCAGGCTGGAGATTGAGAGTAGCACCCGGCTTGATGTGGCAGCTGCTCTTGTGCGGATATGCTTCTGAAGGTGTGTGCACAAAGCCCTTGGATTACACCTACAAGAAATGTCCAACGCCATGTTTGTATTTTTGGATTTCGCCGCTAACATCCGCTAGCCTTACTGGCTCAAACAATGTTGGATCACGCCGCAACCTGTTGGGCAGTGGACATTTCAATTTTTGATTATTTTTGGGTCACCATGTCCCCAATGCCTCTGAAGGGCAGCCCAGAACATTGTGCCCAAACAAGCGGACGGACTGCACTTGCAGTAGCTGCCTTTGCCGCCTTGCAAAGAGACTTGTTCACTCGACGCAGGAAGTCTGACGCTGCCTCAAGGGAAATCTGCACAAACTGAGTCATATGTCAAACTTTGATATCCTTCACAGTGTCAAAAGAATGGGCTTAGTCTGCTAGTATCGCTGGTATCCCCTTGAAACCCCAACTTCAACAGTGTCCTTGTGGCTCAACAAAAAAACAACGGACTGCTTCCCACTCAAACAATACGTTCCGAAAACAAGAACAACGTCTTGGAACTTGGAGTAGTTTCCTGTTTGCGGGGAGACAAACTTCGGACAAAATGACATGCTTCAATGCGTGCCTACGTCCGCGCCTTCATCCGCAGCAAAGCCGCGGTCTCTGGACTCTCGTCGCTTGCCGGCCTTGGAACCACATTTTCATGTATTGCCATGATCTGTTGGAAAATCGAAATGGTTTCATTGCAGTGTCCTTGCAAGAAAAAAAGAGGGGCCCTAATCTTGAATCATGCAGCCAGCTAAACCCTTATCAGCGGGCTTTATGTTGGTGTCCTTTCCATTGGACCTGCTGGGATGGCCTAGAGTTTGCCTGGATCATCCAGTTTTGACGTGTGATTGCCTTGGGGCTTGACCAACCAAGCTTGAAGCCGTAAGAAAGCACAAGCAGCGGTTCACCGTTCTTGGCACATGGCGGAACCCATTCTGCCCCCGCCCCACCGCGACTTGAGACATACGAAGCCCATAAAGAGAGACTTGCCTTTGGACAATTGCCCTTTTCTTTTTCAAAGTGGGCCATTGAAAAATGGGAATGGAGAGAAATCACATGAAATCATTGCGCAGGCCAAGGATTCAGAATTGTTTTTGAAGGGTCCAGGCAAAACAGTGGCAGCTTGGCCAAGCCCGATCCATCCGGAGACCGCCACAAAGAGGGCCAAACACTTGTGTAATCCACAGGGAGGATCTGTCGGATTGATGCAAAGACCAGGAAAATAAAGCGAGTCCTCAGAAAGTCCGTCTTCACTAGTAAGGAGAAGGGTGTCCCAATAGCAAACCCTATTGAACGTCTCCCGATGCCGAATCGAGCTGCGGATCCACGTTCCTTTCGGAAAAGGGGTCACTGTGTTGTGTTGCTTTGGAACGGCAGTTCTCAAGAGGGTGATAAACTGGGATTCCAATTATAGAGGAACTACCCATTTTGGCTGTCCATCTATTTTGGCACGTTCCCATCAAGCACAGATCTCAAGAGCTCCTTTCCCCCTCCATGCTCCGCCTGAGTCCATCCTCGCTGGCTGTAAAAACAGAAAAGCTCTGCATCGGTGAGTCACCGCGGTCATGCGGGGCTCAGAGCTCCCGGTACGCCCCGACGGGATGTCACTTGACTCGTTTCCCTCGCTTGTACGATTTTGGCACTCCTTTAGTTGATAGATGCACAGCTCTGTTGGCATCCAAGGCATCCCTTTGCTTAAATTGGAAAAAATGAGGCCGCTCCAATCGGGAAAAAAACAACATGTTGCCCTAATATGTTGTACTTCCTTACAGAATTATGGGGTTATATATGCCAATCTGTTTGTGTCTGGGGAAGCTCTGCCAAGTCGCACCCGTTTTGTGTGCTTTTCCTTTTGGAGGTATGAAGCCTAAACACGTCAGCCAAAAAGGACACGGGGTGAGTTTCCTTTGAGGCTTACCCCTTCGGGGTCACTATGGAGAACAGAACCCACTGAAGCCACACACACACACAAAGAAGTGAAGCCAGTTTCACACATACATCACCCCATTGAAGCCAGGCACACATTCAGAAAGAGGGTGAATCTCTTTGCCGTTTTGTCGTTATGTAGGTGTCCCTTGCCCAAGCCACGGCGAGGCCGGCAAGGCGCAGAGAATGCATTGCAAACCTCCGGCAGTGACAAAAGCAGTCAGGCACCCGACGCTCTTGCCGTGCGCGACAAAGCTGAAACAGGGCTCCCTGATCTGAATGAAACCAATGGCCACACAAGTTACCCAAATTCCTCAAAGTGATCACAGCCAAAGCTGCCAAAGCTGGTTGCCTTGACTGCATGGGATGTCTTGATTGCAATCCGAATTTGTTGGGACTGTCTCATGCCGCCCTCGTAAAGAAATCAGCTGAAGAAGTTTCAAAGTCTACAAAGAATCCTTGTTCCCCCTGACAAGCTGGGTTACAAGCCTAAACAGTCGGCAAACAGTTGGCTTGGAGAACATCATAGGGGGGATGTCTCAAGCAGCTCACGGCATAGGTCTCATTTTTGTGTGTTTGCACTTTAAAGTGCGGAAACTTGGAACGTCAGTCAAAAGAAAGCCTCACTCAGTTCAACCCTTTCAGTGTTCTGCCTTCGTTCCAGTTGGTTTTCTCCTTGGTTGCACAAGGATCAGCCCAAGGCAACTGCTCTTTCAGGGTGGAAAATCAGTTGCAACCCTCGCCAAATGGTTCTCATATTAATCAACCCGTTGTGAACTAATGTGGAACACTCGCCCGAAATACTTGCTCTCTTGAAAGCTCCACGCGTCGCGCCTTGGGCCGGATGCGGTGGGTGGACCTGCCGCGCAGGTGCTCAGGCATTCAGCCGGGGTTGGGCGTGCGAGCATTGAAGTGCGAAGGCCCCAGAAAGACCATAGCTTTCTCTGGTTTGGTCCGGGCGCGCTTTTTGGAGGCCCTTCCCTTAGTGTTGACCCCAAATTTCAGTACGCGTGGATTCACGGGATACAATTCCACCACAACTCAAAGGTGACCTGGATTCAGTTGGAAAAAAAAAGGATATGCCCTATTGCATTCATGGGTCAACATTACCCTCAAAAACGGGAGCCCCGCATCTTTCCCAAAGGGGACCTCTTAGGATTATGCTTCAGGAGAACCGTTGGTTACAAAGATCCGTGGTTGAATCATTGCGAGCACTTTGTTCCCAGATCATGACCAGTTGTTGGCTTGAAAGGACCCCATGAGTAGGCCCTCAGACTGCCATAGTCCTCCCCTGCAAATTACACAAGATAAGCCTGCAAATGCTGAATTCCGGTTCGTTTCCCTTGAAAGATCCAAGGGGAAGTCCCAAACCGAGTTCCATTCACCTAGTTGCAACACAAACCTTGGTCTTCCAGGACCCTGAAAGCGCAAGCGCTGATCCTCCAGCTGAAACCAACAAGAAGAGCAAAAGGAACCCTGCTTTCCAAGGCCCTTGGAAGACTGAGGGTAGTGCCTGCCTTTCGCGTGTTGCAAACATAGTGAGGTTATGATATGTGCCTGACTGTTGAAAACGGGCTTGGGGAGACTGCGCAACCCTCTTGGTAGGTCCCTTCATTCTCCCGAGCTCCAAGGACCCTGTAGCACAGGAACTTTCTTGATTCGTCCTTGGTTTCAAAAGGGTCGACCCAAGGCAACGCTTTCCGTGGTCCGAAATCCAAGTCAAGCAAAGCGGACGGAAGGTTCAGGCTTGGTGAACCCTGTTAGCCCAAGGGGTATGCCCAGACAAGAAGCCTGCCTCAGGGGCTCCTGAAAGGACTGGGCAATTGACCGCGTCACTCCCACACAATGCGCACCTGCTGCGGGGAACCTCAGCCAGGGCACGCTCCCGATTTTTTCTAGCTACGGCGCGAACCCAAAGAGATGCAAAGCGAAATGGCATGAGCCCAGGACAAACACATTTGTTGGAAATGGAAAATTGGGTGGGCCCCCGCGCCACTTGTCTACTACACCCCAACTGAAGCGTGACTGCAGCAGGTGAACACTATCTCTACAAATAAACAAAAAGGATGAAGCTGGTAGACATCTGACAAGCGTTCACTACGCCAACCTTATCTGCCACACTGGTCGCGTTTCTTGTTATTGATAGCTTTTCCACTTTCTGCGCCATAAGACAAATCTTTAATCGAAGGATGTTGCGTCTTCCAGCAAGTCTCTCCCCGGTTGCAAATAATATTTAGCACTTCGGTTGGTATATTCCATCAAGTCTTGTAGTGCAATGGCCTGAATGACGTCTTGTTGACACGGTATTTGTGGTCTTCCTATAAAGCCCACCAGTCTTGTGTTGTACCCCAAGAGGGATAAGCGACGGAACTGACTGCGGCTTCCCCAGAAGGTGGATGGGCAGTAGTCCTGGTGGACACATTTTGGAGGCTTCAGGTGCAGGTTTGTTGAACGCGCTTTTTTGCTGCATAGGAGTCTGGTTCACGGCATCGGCTGGGATGCTCAGGTCCGGGAGCTGCCAACACTCAGTTGGTCCAATTTTATGCGTCAAGACCGGCGTTTTGAGCCACAGAAAAGGGAAAAGAGAGCCACAGCTAAATCCATGTTATTCTGAGGTTACATTCCTGGCATGTTTTGGGCCACTGGAGTTGGTCAGCCCATGTCAGCCCCAACGGCTAGAGGAGGCACGGACAAATTTACAAATTGTTCCCCAAGAGAACATGGGATAGTTGTGGATGAAACTAAGTGACTTCCCTCCTGCCCCTCCCAAATGAACCATGCTGGATATGTTGACTAGACCTCAAATGCATGGACTACTGGACGCTTTGACCAAACCAAAACAAAAACAAGCAACAAAACAAAAACAAGAACGAAAGATATAAACAAATGTGTATATATATATATATATATTGATTCGATTGGTGACTCAATTCAACGGGCCCCTCCTTGTATCGCATCAGCTGCCACCAGACGGTTGATGGTACAATGAGTACTTGGAACTTCCATTGAGATGCCGCCAAGCAAATAAGAAGTTGGCCTGTCAAGCATGACAAGTTGTCTTTCACATCACGATTAGCCATGAACAAAAATAAGACCGTACACAAAGACATCAGTCACAAGTTGCCTTTCAAACCAACAGAATAAATTTCCGGTAGCCTCGGATAGCCATCTCTTTGCTTGGCCTGTTGTATCTTCTCGAAGAATGGCCATGTGGACGGGTTGGAATCAATCAGTCACCGAAAAGAAGGCATGGTCCTTTTTTTCTTTTTTTCCTCCCCTTTTTTCTGGGGGAGAGGGGAGGGGGCGGAGGAGGTTCGGCATCAGTCCCAAACAAAATGACCCCTCGTTGATTTCAGCGTCTCAGGCCAGCGCTTTCTCCTCACCGCCGGCCGGTTTCCAAGGCCTGCAGGCCATGCCCCGGAGTTTCTTTCTTCGGGGTGGGGTTCGAGGTGGCGATCCCTTGCAGAGCTTTGCAAAGCCATGGGGAAGCCTGGGGCTACCCCCTCCCCACTTAGGAATTGCAAGAGGAAGCGGCTGAAGTCGCATTGGCCGCTCTCACGGTAGACACCCCTACCTCCCTTCCTGAGTGGATTGGCGCTAACGATTGCCACAAGGAACAAGTAAACCACCTGAGTGAAGTTTCAGAACCTTAACATACGGGAAACAAACCCTTGCAAGAGTAAGTTCGGGCATACCTTTCTGTTGCCAGCAAGGCATGGAGGGAGGGAACGGTGATTGAGCGACCTTTGTGCAAAGCACCCGGACTTGTTCCTTTCTCCTTTTTCGGGACGCCGGGGCGCCCCTTCATCCTCTTTCCAACAATGGCAGTGGCCAGGAGGCTTTAAAAAAGGACAGTATAGTCTAGAGCCAGAGGACTCCTGTCAGGATCTTCCATGATTGTTGGGGAGGGCAGATGGTCCGAAGGCTTGCTGTGCATCCACCTCGCCAACCTTGCGCACGTATTGGGAAAGTCAACATGCTGAAGCGAAGCGAAACGTTCGAATGTAACCATCAGCTAGGCGAAGCCCTTGGTCCCAACTAATCCTGGATTTGGATACCTGGCGGATCTCATCTACAAAGGGATAATCAATAACCTGGCTGCAAGCTATCCTGCGTTGTCATAATTTTCCCAATAACCAACAGCTCAGGATATCAGATGTTATCTTGTCGGGATCTCTGCATGAATATGCATCTTGTTGCGCAAAATAACCTAGAGTCTCTACATGAGTTCGTCAAAATAGGGCTTGATTTCCCTTTGAAACAAGGTGAAGCACTCTACCACCCTCAAAACAAGCACACATACACCCACACATTTCGCTTCTGCATATGACCTGGGCTGACTAGGAAGATAATGATGGTCAATCACCAATGATTTCGGTGCAGCCTGCTCCACACTAGAGTTTCTTGGCTCAACAAGGACAGTTCCAAGTGCCCACACAGGCGCTCACTGCATACATCGCCCGTTGAACCAAACTGCCGACCAAATGACCAAAGGAGATATGTGCCTGACAGCAAAAGACCTGTAAGGCCTGGGCCCAAACCGATTCTTCCTGGTCATTCTGGCCCTTGCTCACAGGCACCCACAAGTTGAAATGAACTCCCGCTGGGACCCCCAAACCCACCCGAACCAACCAGCTTGCACTTGTGCCTTTCTCACCCTGCAAAGGACCTGAAACAAACCATCAACAGCAAACCAAAATGTAAAATGGTCGGATTTTAATCAAACCTACTGCAACTTGCTGTCTGACCCTGTTCCGGCGCCTGCCCGGTACCGACGTACCACGTGCCTAGCGCTTCCAGCGAACACATGTCGACACACAAGAGACTTTCACAAGCAAGAAGTAAAGGTGGACCAGGATCGCCCCAGAACCCAATCATATCTTTGTTATTGCACATGATTTCTGTTTGTCGGTATATTTCCTTGCACATGTTCTCTATTTGGCGGTATATCTCCTCCGCTTTATTTCTCCGGAAAAAATCAGCTGTCCGCGACGTCACACGTTCCATCTCCAATGCTTCGTGACTGCGGACCACTTTCCGAACCTTGCTTTTGGTGATCTGGTCCACCTGCTTCCACTGGACGCTATGCGTGCAGTTTGGGGCCCCCTTCGTTCATGCTTAGATCAAGCCTTTCTCCGGCTCCGCATGGAATCGGTCACTCGCCTGTGAGTCGTGCTTCAGCTTCCATGCGAGGGCGCGCCTGTTGTTTGCCTGTCTAGTCTCAGTCGAGTAATCTGTGACTTCTTTTTTTTTTAAAGAGACTTGACTCCAAAAAGGGCAGTCGTGCGAAGTCTGGTTTTCGTATACCGCAAGATTACACCCTTGAGACATGACCCAACATTTGACGTGATCACATTTCATCTGGAAAAATAATCACATCGGGTAGCTGCTCAGTGGTGTAGTCCGAGGCTGTAATAAACAAACCCTTGCATAGCAGCTGCCGCAAGCCTGCCCTCATTGGTTTGGCATGAGAGTCACTCTAGTGGTAGGTTCGAGGGAAACAGACTCGCAAATGCAAACAGACTTCGACAACCCAATAAGAAAGCATCTCTGTGGACAAGTGTTCATACAACCTCCTTTTGGCCACTTTTGCCCCAGCCTGACCAACACCACTGGGGACCGGTCTTGCATGATGAACTCGATTCGCTGGGCTAGCAGCTAGCATACAGCCCCCTAGCAATAAGTGAAAAAATACAAAGCAAGCTCCAACTATATTTCAAACCTACATACCAAAACCAAAAGCACACTCGCAAAGGGCCCCAAAGGTGATGTTCAACACCACCAAAGGCACAATACTGCGAACCATGCGCAATGCAAGAGACCAGGAAAGGAAGGGCAAGCTTTGAAGACTCCAAATGCCAAACACTATCGATCAAATGCCTTGGATTCGCACCATGTAGGCTTTGAACAAAAAGCGACCAACTAATTACGGCCGGGTGCCTTGTGAGCCCCCATTTTTTTTTGAAAACGGTTCAAATTAAATACCTGACCTCTGCAGGAGGTCCACGCCCAACCACATTGACATGGAACTTGACAGGAGGACCCTGGCAAACAAAGCTACTCAGTGAACGGGGGGAACTCGCTGAGTTGGCCCCTCTGTCAAGGATTCACACAGCACCCGCCTTGCCGACCGATGACTCCTGGCAGCATATCGCGGGAGGAGGGGGGGGAGTAGATTGCCGCCTTTCTGGCAAGCAAAGTTGCATAAAGAAGAAACCCTCACCTTCAGGGGGCCAATAACTACGGCTGTCTTGAAATGAACATGTATGTGAAGAAGGGTTGCAGTGGCACTTTGAGGCAGCAAACAAACCAGCGAGATTTAAAGCGTAGCAAGCCTGCAGAAGGACTCTGAGGGTCAGCGCGACCTAAAATTATCTGCTGGCTGGACATGCTTCGACTGCATGCCAATGTCAGCTTCCGATTCATCCGGAGGGCCATACCATTTCTATTTGTTTGATTCCCATTTTGGGACACATGTTTCTGTACAGGAAAAGCAAATGCCCAATGTGCGATAAGGGCAGGACTTGTACCACCTAGAACCGATGCACCGGTAATATCCTCCGTTGCACTTCCTAGAGGTAACCCTGTCACATGCTAGCCCGCGCAGCTGCAAGAATGCAAAGCTCCTTGCACTGAGGCACCTTTCTGTCAGAGAATTCTGGTCGACAAGGCGTCGCCAAGGTTGGTTCCCCTCATTGCCCATAGACCCCTGAAACCCAGGGCCAGGCTTTTGCCAGGGCAAACGAGAGGACAGATCGGCTGGAGGCCAACCATCATGTTCACATCCACGGATCATCCAATATGAAATAACAAATTACTAGGATGTTTCATATGCTCATTTTTCACAGGACCCCACAACCGCATTCGAACTATTGAGGCCTGTGTGGTATCTTTTGACGCAGGAGAGATAAATTCGCAGAAACAAGAAATATACTAACCCAAAAAGCCAGCCCCCCCATGACGATCGCCCTCCGATACTTCCAGTAAGGGTCGAAAGCCGATGATATCTTCCTGGAATACTTCAACGTGAGCATGGATCTTAATGCGGGAACCAACTGGAAGACTGGACAAGCAGAAAGAACAAGCGCATTCTGTGCTTGCATGCCATTTTTGCAAAGCCAACTACGTAAACATCATAGTGATCATCCAGGACAAACAAACCCTTGGCCGATGAAGAAAGGCAGCCCGGTTTAAAGGGGATGATTGCGCGAGTGCCTGAGCTTGCCCGAGCCAAGGTTGCTCCAAAGCGCTCATGATTTTAGGTGTCCCATTCAACCAGGTCATTGGATGTGGGTGCAAATATCCGAGTCCCCTAGACCATTCCACCGACCAACCGACCAGCCAGCCATCCAGCCGTCCACCCAAACAACTAGCAGACAAGCAAACCACAAAACAAACCAGGAAACCAAACGACCAAGAACCAAACAAACAACTAAACAACCAAACAGCCGGCCAGCCAGCCAACCAACTACCCAAGCAGCCATCTAGATGGCCAAGCAACAGTCAAACAAACTACCAAACATTCAGGCAACAAAACAAACCAAGCTGCTGAACAACCCAACAAACAACCTAACAATCAAAAAGCCAGAAAAAGACAACAAACAACACTCACTCACTCACGCACTCACTCACTCACTCACTCACTCAATCAATCAATCAATCAATCAATCACTCAGTCAATCAAAACAATCAATCGAATCCAATCCAATCCAATCAACAAAGCAATCAATTAAAAAATCACTCAATCAAACATTCAATCAATCAATGAATCCATCAACCAATCCAATCCAATCCAATGCAATCCAATCCAACCCAATCAAATTAAATCAATCAATCAATCACTCAGTCAATCAGTCTATCAGTCAATCAGTCGATCAGTCAAACAAACAATCAAATCCCATCCCATCCCATCCAATCCAATCTGATTTAATCCACTCCAACTCAATCCAAGCAATAAATCAATCAAATCAATCAATCAATCAATCAATCAATCAATCAATCAATCAAATCAATCAATCAATCAATCAATCAATCAATCAATCAATCAATCAATCACTCAGTCAATCAAAACAATCAATCGAATCCAATCCAATCCAATCCAATCCAATCAACAAAGCAATCAATTAAAAAATCACTCAATCAAACATTCAATCAATCAATGAATCCATCAACCAATCCAATCCAATCCAATGCAATCCAATCCAATCCAATCAAATTAAATCAATCAATCAATCACTCAGTCAATCAGTCTATCAGTCAATCAGTCAATCAGTCAAACAAACAATCAAATCCCATCCCATCCCATCCAATCCAATCTGATTTAATCCACTCCAACCCAATCCAAGCAATAAAGCAATAAATAAATCAATCAATCAATCAAATCAATCAATCAATCAATCAATCAATCAATCAATCAATCAATCACTCAGTCAATCAAATGAATCAATCGAAACCAATCCAATCCAATCCAATCCAACCAACAAAGCAATCAATTAAAAAATCACTCAATCAAACATTCAATCAATCAATGAATCAATCAACCAATCCAATCCAATCCAATCCAATGCAATCCAATCCAACCCAATCAAAGTAAATCAATTAATCAATCACTCAAATCAATCAGTTAATACATCAATCAACCAAGACCAAGCAACCAACCAACCAACCAACCAGACAACCAACCAACCAGCCAGCCAACTAACCAAGCAACCAACCAACCAGACAGCCAGCCAGCCAAACAATCAAACAACCAAACAGCCAAGCAACTGAACACCTGACCAATCAACCAAGCAACCCTGTCTCGAACATGCCCATGCCGAACTGTTTGCGTGTGGAGCAAGACGGGGTCCATCTGATTGACTCATGTTTAACCTACCTCTGCTTTACACCTCGTTTGGGTTCCCTTTGGAGGGCCCAGGGTTCTGCTTGCTTACCTGGTACTTCCTGGGTGGATCGGCCATCAAAGTCAAAAACTTTTGTTTGCCACTAAACTCGTCTTCCCAAAACTCCACTCACGCGCAGGTCGTTGCCAACTTGGCCAACTCCGTGGCCCGGGACTCGCCTCTTTGCGGTGCAGGCGCATCTGCTCCGGTGTGTGGGCCAAGGGCGTCTCAGCGAAAGCAGTTGGTCAAGTGGGAAGGCCGGTGGCTCTGGATGTCCCATGCTTTTTCGCAGGCTTACAGAGTTCCCTATATGTCCCCAAAAAGGAAACTCAATTATAGACCCAAAAGGCGATGTTCAGGGTCCCACAAGTTTCTTTTGACATTTTCCGCCAAGGGGATTTGTGACCGAAACCCTTGCTTGTCTGATTTCCCTTTGAAAGGGTCCACGACCGTCCCAGGCACAAGCTCTGACCACGGCACAGGTTTGTCACATAAACTCGAAGTCGTCGGCAGCTCCCTTTGGTTTCCCTTCGAGTCAATGACACACCCCTATTTGGCTGTGGGTCAACAAAAAGGTACCCAAAATGGAAACCTGGTATATAGAAACAATGACTACAGCCTGTGGTCCCCTGGTGGTTAAATTTTGACCCATACCCATTTCTAGTACACGATCTTTTCAGTAGGCTTTGCACATGGTTTGTTTACCCAGCGAAACAAAAGCTGCCAGCTACTCGGTTTGGACATTTTGTTTGCAGGAAACGTTGCGTTTGGAAACATACCGATACTGATCAGGATGCAGGATCTCTATTATTGTAAAGAGGGTTTAGCAGAATCTGCACGATTGCAAAAAACTAGTGTTGGGTTGGGATTTGATCCAAAACCTAGCCTAACATCTTGAATTCACATGACCCCCAAAAGCTCGTCTTCTCAAGTCCTCGGAATCGTCTAAGAAACGCGGCTTCAGCAGAGCCGCAACCCCGTGATCTTCAATAGGAGCAGGGATTGCACCGGTTGATCTCAATATTGTTTTCAGGGAAATCAAAGCTTCAAACTCCTTCAGATGGGATTTCTTAGATGAGTTAGTCGTCCGTTTCGTCGTTGTTTTCCTTTGGTTAAAACGATAATTGTGGGCTAGTCAGCACGCGGCATGTCATGTTGTGCTATCTGAGATCCTCCAAACAGCTCCTGACTGGCCTTTGATCAGGGACGTAGTTCTGCGTCGCCCATGAAAACACTGTCAGGACACCCGCGAAATAAACCGGTAGACATTCGCAAGTCGATATTCCCCTCAGGAACTCAGGGAGCCAAAGTCAGTCGGCGTGTTGGACAGAATCTCCCCGATTTATGGGTCTCTTGGAAGGAAACCGACCCATCTTATGGGGACAACCTCGGATACACCCTGCCTTCTGCTTCATGGCTGGTCGTCCCAAAAGTATTAAAACAACAAACAACCAATAGCGGAGGAGAGTACAGCCTTGCCCTTTGTGACCCCTCAGTACAACCAGCCGAGAAGGGATCAGCCAATCTCCTGGCAACACCTGGGTTCTCGAAATAGAGAAACCCCCAAATGATTGTTCCCCTGGCTTTCATTTCTCTAGGGGTGATCCTTCTTTCAGGAAACCATACAAAACCCAGGGGAAACAGCCGGTTTTTGAAAAGAACCATGGTTGAAAATAATGGAAAAAGGAATCAACCCCTAGAATTTCAGTCCACCTCAAATAGGTCCCCTCCCAAATCATAGGTGGCTACCTCCAGCCCCCATCTCGCGCCTGAACCAAATGAGCCCGGAGCTCTTTGAGAGGCACCAAGATGGGCCTCGAATCGGAGCAAACTCTGGAAGCCGTAACTTGGGTTGTTTGTGGTTTGTCCCCAAACATTGGTTTTCCTTTCAGCGTTCTTTAAAACCCATGAAAACGAGTCCCTCAAGTGCTGTTTCGTTGCTCAGTTTGGCATTTACGTGCAATAAGTACAACACCGATAACCAACTCCTGCAGCACTTACATGGAGACCTCGTGCACATCAGTGTCATGTACCTCTAATTTATCCGACATGACATGTAAAATAATATGCCTACAATTTCCCTATAGCCTAGTTACCTAGTTCTAGCCTAGTTGTTTGTAGCGAGTTGGTGCCCCTGTTCTCGCCCCGAGCCGTCCATGGCCATACCAGAAAATATCCCTTTAAACCCTTGAAGCATGGCAGGCAACGTTCCATATAATCTGGACGCTCCAACGAACCGTTTTCGAAGGGGTTGCATCACACACGCGCAAATAATGTATCAGCTCCACAGCATTGAAGTCCAGGTCAAACCAACAAGCGAGCAAGTCGGTTTCGCTCAACATGTGAAAACCCACAAAATGTCATATTCCTTTGGAGAAGCCCTGGCCCAAAGGGGTACACAGAACGTCGTATGTCTGATGTGTCATGTAAAAAGTAAACAAAACAAACATAACTTCAGGAAGGTTTCCTTTTTGTTTTCAGCAATAAACCTAAACACGTAAAACTCCCAAAGGTAAAACTGCTTTGACTTACAGCAGTTTACTTTTTGTACTTGTCACCAGTAAAAAGTATAACACTGCAAAACTTTTGGAACCATGCAAAGTACTGGAACATGTTACGTTTGGGAGTGTTACTTTTGTACCTTTCAGCTTGAAAACTCGTGAGCACCCAGGTTTTGGAGGGCGGATAGCTTTAAACCTATTAACAATATATTCTGAAGTCAAGCCGCCAAGCAACCAACGTGTACAGGTTGCCATGCTTTGTTGCACCCTCTTCAAAAGGAGTTGGCCGGCTTGGGCACCCAAATGGCAAACCCTGAACTGAACCTCGCGCTGGTTCAGCTTCAAGAGCAACCAATCCCCTTTGGTTCATCTTCACGTTGACCCCTTTTACGATATTCCAGTCAATACACAAGGCAAACCACTAGTTTCACCATTGTCCTGCTGGCAACAACAGACACAAATCCTCTTGGACCACTGTTCTCTGATGGCCGTCCCATGTTGAGACTTCAAGTTGGAAGAAAAGAACCCGCCCACAAACTTGGGACAAGACTTGCGTTTGGAGCGCTTGCTGCAACCTCACATGGCACCTGAAGACAGAGCTTGGAGTTTGCTACCTATGGGGGCCTTCAAAGGAAGGCATCAACATGCCCTCTTTGCCAGGCGCTCGTAAGATCTTCGCATCCTTCGCGGAAGACTGTTAGTTTCTCAAGCAAGAAGCCTTGTACACGCGAGCTGTTGCTGAACTAAGCATCGAAGCCAGTTCCGCAAGCAGGCCTTAGAAAGCACAATTTATGTCAGCTACGAAGTTTCGACTTTGAAGGTATAAGCAAAAACACCAAGAACAATGTAACAACGTCGTGGGCCAAACAAAATACGAAGAACACGTTCTATGGCGATATCCAAGTATCCCCGCAGGCTTGACAGATTCTGCTCAAAGTAGTTGCTGACGAGGGCTGCTAAGGGGTGCAAGCCATTCTCCGGGGCGCCGAACGTCTGCGGGCACAGCCTCCTTCTGAGCTGAAAGAAGGCGGTCATTTGGCCTCGGGCATTTGAGGCGGCAAGACCAATGCTCGCAAGGGCCTATCTAGGGCTCAAGTTTGTTCCACAAAAGGCAGATCGTTGTCATTGTTCAGTTCAATCCTATCCAGGGTTGCTGTTGCCACGCACAGTACCTTGCGGTCACCTGTGGAGTTCACCAATTGTCGCACTGCCATGCCAGCGTATTGCCTTTTCACAAAACTTAGTGCCACCCCACAATTGGGGGCGGTGGTAGGTGCAACATGACCAGCCAAGGCCAATCGTAGGGGACACCGAAAAACCAATGCTAACTGCTCTTTCAAGGGGAAACCAGCATCACAGTTGCTTGGGTTTGCGAAGCCGGCCTCTGGAAAATCGTCAACGCCAAATCATGTCATGTGCTGACATATGCTTCGAGGATTTGCAATTTGGGTTCTGGAGGTATGGAGGCTTCTATACCACCACGGTATGCATTCATGCATGCCTTCACACGCCTTACCTGGGATTTCCCCTGATTTATCTCTGAGCACTCGTTTGTGGCAGGTGCTCACCGAACATATTCCAACTCCGCCAGTCTTTACCTGATCATTCTCTTAGCATTCTCCGTTTTATGTTGTAAAGGGGTTCCTTGGGCTCCCTGCTGGGTATGTCTGTGAAGGGTATCCCGAAATGAGTCCTTTGGGTTTTCCTCGAAACCAGCCCCAAAAAGGGTACCCTAACAAAACACAAATCCAGGCATGAATGTTCCTTCGGGACCCTGTGGACATCATACACATGGGGATTCGTGTTCTCCAATTTCACTTAGGTGGTTCCCCAGTAAAATCCCTGGCCATATCCCATGTATGCACTTAGTTACTTCCAGTTATCCAAACAGGTCAAACGCCGGTATATGGGTGTGGCTCACAATTAAAGACCTAGGGTTCCGCAGGTTTTAGTCTACTTTCCCATTTACCAGAGTTCCATTTCGGGTGCGTATGTTTGACCCACAGCCATATAACTGGAACCGGACCCTGGGCCCTCCAACGCTCCACCTCCTCCAGGGTCCAGCGCCTCGCCTGGCGCACCTCCGGGTTTCATCCAAGTGGCTCGTCCTTTCAAGTCCCGGCAACCCCCGCCTTTGGGTTTTTGAAGGGAAACCAAACAAAAAACACCAATGGTCTCATTTGTTTGCCGACAAAGCCATGAGCCAAGTCCCTCTTCTGGAGCGGATTGGGAAAAAAAAACAAGCCCGAACTTTGTGCCACTAAAATGATCCAGACCCAACAAGTATAAAGTCAGTGAGAAGGGGCAGGGGCAGAATTGCAGGTATCTTCTCGTGTTTGTGACTTAATTCGAATTTAAAGTTCCCCACCGCATTTGATTGATGCGCGCAGCCTCGCTTGGGGGTTTCAAAGTGGAAACATGGATGCTAGGAACCCATTGGAAGACGCAAGCAGGATCATTAGAGTGTCCCTTGAAGTGTGAATTCATGTACTGGTGGCTTCCAGTGAAGCTGGCACTTTTGGAGGACCAAAGAAGGGAACCCAAACAAGCAACACTGCGTAGTTGGCCATGGCGTAGGTTTGTGCTACTTGACTAAACATGCGGGTGAATCTTTTCCCTCAGGAACAAACGTGGACATTCTCGTGGATTTGCCTCCAAAAACGCGGCCCACCCCTCCCACCCAGGAAAAAGAATAGATTTTCTTTGATCGCCTGGATGTGTTCTTAGACATTGGTTGGACCCTTTGGTGGGCATCACGCAAACACATATGTTTCTACACATGCACCGGGCTTGTCTACTACCATGCGTAAGAATGTTGCCCATTCCAGGTGTACCTGTCATTGTTCGAATTTCTGATGTGGGTCGCGTTGTCATGGTTCTCTGAAGAGGACACCTGAAAGCCTCGTAATTCAATGTATGTGTTTGTGTGTATGTGAATCTTGTGGTCAAAGTCCTGGCGCGTCTTTTGTTTGGAATCAATGTTGTCATGGTGGTCCAACTCCACCGTTCAGGGGATCATGACCATCCCTACCAACCCCAAGTAAAGGATGGAAGCAGGGTCCCTTGACCGTGACATACGGTGTATACTAAGTTGTCAATTACAAGCCCCATCGTCTGACACCTTCGGGCATATCGTGCCTGCCAATTGGGGGCGGGACCCAAGCATGGTCATTACGCTTGCCTGAAACATCTATAGGGCTCATTCCCCCCCAAGCACACACCATTAAGAGGCTTTCCCGGCCTCTAAACCTTGTGATCAAAGCCCAACTGGGGCTGTCCGAATGTGCTTAAGGCGAGCCTCCAAGAGCATCCACCAGGCTGCTCGTTTTCTCAGGCCACTAGTCCCGCGTTTGAAGTCCCCCCCCCAAGGACATGCTCCTACCGAGTGGACGTTGCTTTTGATCTGGGGGCCACCCTTGGAACTCAGAATCATCTTCTGGAAATATTTGATTAAGGGTACAGTCGGAGGAGGACAACCCTTTCAAGCGCACGCTTCTCTGAAATCATGTTGCCTGCATTTTACCAATTCAGGACTTAGCGCTCAAAACGAAGGCGCTGCGCTTTGAACGAACTTGCACTTGAACATGATACGGACATTTCAAATTGCGGCTCCAAACTGAAGTTCTTAACCATTTGAGGCCCAAGAAGTGGTCCATTGGCAAATTGTCGTTCATCAGCGTGGGTGACTTGTTTTCAAGATCAAGGTTGATTCCCCCCCATTCTCTTTTCCCAGCATTCTTCTGATAAATGGTTCAACAATTTGAGATGTTTGCCAGTTTCAGACGGAAGTACGGTATCCCTGTATAATTGGGGAAGAAAGCATGTAGGACTGTTTGAGAATCTTGAAACAGCTCATCAGTCAAGGTGTTGGCGAGGTTCGCCCCTTCCTGAACAGCAGTAAGCATGCAACGTGCCAGGCACATGTGAGCAAGCATGGCAACCAGCGAGACATGAGGGCAACTCGCCCTCAAAAGTACTCAGAACAAACCTTACAAGGTCAAAGTCTGCCAAAACCCTGAAGCCGATGTATAGATGTAGCACTGGCAAACCCGAATGCCGAATTGTTCCCGGCCTCGAACTTGGTGGCTGGCATCACGGGTTCATCTGCGGTCCTGGCGTATCGCCAAAGTCAGTGACCCAAGCCACGGCCCCCCCCCTCATCCGCCCATATTGGACCCACCCCAAGCTCAAACCGTGGCGAGCGCGGCGGCCATAAGGAGTCTCCGGGCGGCGCGGGGACGAGATCTTCGCCGCTGCGGCCTCGGGCGAGCGTCGGCTTGGCAGGCTTCGGGTTCTCTTTGGCGCATGAGGCACAAGGATACTCGGTTGCTTTCTGCTCCTGCCAAAAGTTTAACTCTTGGCGGTTTAATGGAAAACCCATTAGTTGGCAAAAAGCTAAAGTTAGGCCCAGAGATACAATGTAGATGTTATGGTTTGCTTCACTTTGAGTCAATGGTAAACTGTAAAATGTATCTGCAGTCTACGACATGAAAAGGAATGGCACTCACTCACTCACTCACTCACTCACTCCCTCCCTCCCTCCCTCACTCACTCACTCACTCACTCACTCACTCACGCACTCACTCACTCACTCACTCGCTCGCTTTGGTCGTCTCTCCCATCAGCTACTTCCGGATTCTGTTTCATACTTCGCTCTACCTAAGCGTATGGAATCAGTTTTGGGGAGACCCCGGTTCTGACCCTTGATCTTCCTTTCGGTTGCCGAAAAGGCAGTTGCGTTTGTCAAATTCCTTAATGGACAGAGTTGATTCGGGACAAGATTTAGCGAAGGCTCGTCAGGCATCTCAAGAAAACAAACACAAACCCCTACTGGGGAGAGGCGTAACTCGTGTCCTCGGTACAGAAATCTCTTTGCCCCGTGCGTCTACGCAGGAAACCCAACCGCCGCGGCAGACCTCCAAAATAGGTTGGTGGATCAAACCCCTAGTCTGAATCTATGGCATCCCCCAGCATGAGCCCCTGGTATCGACCCTGGTGTGGCCCTTTGATATAACCTCCACTGCTTCAGAGCCATAGCCATAGCAAGGACACACTCGGAAAGTTAAAGGGCCTTGGCACCCTTGGTCCTTTCTCACAAGTTGCGGTTGCAGTGGCCCCTCGTGCAAAAACTGTCGCCTTTGCTAGTAAGGGAAACAACCTATCATTTCTCCAAACAGTTAGAGGCTGAGTATACCCGCCAATAAAAAGAGCCAAGCTGATGACTGATTCAATTCAGCCTCCAGTGCTGAAGTTGTGTGTGTGTTTTTGCTCGGTCCCAAAAAAGAGCCAACCAAAAAAAAGCCAACATGGTAGATCAAGGGTGCATGCTGGCCATGATTTTCCATGTTTCGTGAACCAATGGTGCAGGGATAGCCCCGACTGCAGGCCTCAGTCGCTGGCGTGACGCGAAGTGCTCCAGCCAGAACCGGATGCCCGCCTAGGCTCAGGGTGGGTCCCGATGTTTCACTTTCGCTTCGAACATTGGAGCAGGGAAACTGGGATTGTTGCGGGAAAAAAAAATGAAACTCGTTGGCCGCCCTCTTTTGGAAAATAGAGGGAACCCCTATAAGTATAGAAAATAGTCATATGGGTCGGCTTTTTGTTTGGCACCCTCCTATAGAAAACATCTTTAAGGGTTCCCCATGTTACCCGCCAGGTGCCATCCTCTCATGGATATTAGGCAATCACCGCGGGTTCCAACCCAACTTGCCAGCCTTTGGCATGGTAGTCAAACAACAGGCGTGCTTGGCGCCAGCCCCTAAATACGAACCAAAGCAAAACACACACACACACAAACACAAAAAAACAGATGCCAAGTGCTGTGAAGAACAGCTCCCTGTCCAAGCAACTAGCCCCAAGCTTGCCAGCATGCCCACCGGGCACACAAACACCAAGCACATTGCCGAATACAATATGCAAACAGCTAAGATTCTAAGATGAAGAATCCGGAAGTCAGGAACCTTTATCATCGCCCCTTTCGGTCGCAAACCCAAACCCCTTTGTCAGATAGCGATTTAATTTGATCAGATATACACTCCCTTCACATGAATCCCTGGATCATTTTCGCTATGTATTGCTCATGGCTTATGGACCAGCCGCGAAAGGGGCCGAAAGCTGGACATGGGATCTGGTATACAGTTATATATATATATATATGTGTGTGATGTGTCTATTATTATTTAAACATATATATATATGTATATGTATACACATACATGTCGATATTCATCGGTCCATGAACTGATCCGGCTCCCAAAATCCACAATTCCAAAGTCAGCACACGCAAACGACTTGCCATCCAGCCTCCTCGTCCGGCGTCTCGTAGCCAATCTTGAGGCGGAACTCCTGTCACAGTTCCGGTGACAAGCGTTTGAGCGACAGCTACAAAGACAAAAACTTGTTGGAGGTGGCTCAACTACAACAACAAACAGAAGTACTGCGAAAAAGAGCCCCAAAGGACCCCACATTTTGGGTAGTTCAACTACAGCAGGAAACGTGGAACCCCAAACTGGGCGGTTGTCTTTTGGCATCTTGTTTGTAACCACGCAAAAGGGGGTGGGTTTCCTAGCCGGGAGCAACATGATCCTACATACTGACCTTTACTCATATGGGTTGCGTGTCAGGAAAACTAGGCTTCGAAACATGTTTGAGCTGGAGTGCGCAGGCACAAAGGCTCCTTGTAACCACTACCAACCAGTTCAAGCTTTCACTTGTCCCACCAGGCTACCCCGAAGATACATAGTTCGTATTGGTTTATCAGACTGCTTTGGAGGAGACCCCAATTGAAAGGCAACAAGTTCAGAGGTGATGCCTTCAAAGGCACTGGCGAGAACCAGCTCAAGGTGGCTTGCGATTCCTCCCGCGTGGCCGGCAAAAAGAACCCCTAGAAGTAAGTGAAAACCAACTCGTTGAGGTGGTCCCGCGTATTTTCCCCCCCCCAAAAAAAAGGAGGGAGGTCAACTGCCAAACTTCCCCTCCAGTCAGAGGGCGGCCCCAATCAGACTCCGACGCTCAAGTCGAGTCTCCGAACACACCGCCAGGCAGCTGGGTCCTTGATGAGCCACTTCAGAGCCGGGAACCACTCGCCCAGCTGCAGCTGAAATTGGCGCCAGTGCTCCTGCCGGGATTTGCCGTTGCACCTCCAGTTTTGACGGAATATCGGGATTCTGAGATGATTGCCACCTTTTCTTGGGGTCCACTAAGTTGGTTTCCCCCTTGTCGGAAACCAAGTTGGACCCTCCTCCCTTGCAGGGTAGTGAAGCACTCATACAGGGGGTCCAACCCAAATGTTCAACCAACCAGGGAGCCCAAATGGGGTGCTCGGTGCCAACGCATTGTGGGACAGGTCATGTCTTGAACTTGAACACCAGTGCGAATGATGAGGTGTTGTGCAAAAATCGTAGGGCCAACTTCCAGAAAACGGAAATACTACCCAGGGTCAAACTAGAAGGTGGCAAACAAAAACACTCTGGAGGGTATTCAACAACAAAGGTATAATCCGCCGACCCCATGCCTGGCCCAGAATGGACCATGCTTTCGGCATGGGGGCGGTGTGTTCTGTGTTGCTTTTGTTGATATGCTTTCTATAAGTTTAACGTGAATATGATTGTCTCTGTCTCTTTGTGTCTGTCTGTGTCTGTCTACGTATCTGCGTCCGTCTTCGTGTCCCCCCCCCCTTGTCTGTGTGTGTGTCTATTTGTCTCTGTCTGGCTCTGTCTGTGTCTGTCTACGCATCTGCGTCTGTCTTCGTGTCCGCGAAGACCCTCCCCCTCGCTGCGTGTCTGTCTGCGTGTCTTTGTGTCTGTCTGTGTCTGTCTACGTATCTGCGTCTGTCTTCGTGTCCGCGAACGGGTCTGTGCACGCGTGCTTTCTCTCGTCCCGCGCCGAAATTCTAAGGTGTGTGGGGGCGGCGGAACCAGGCCGCAGGCCATTAAATAAAACTCAGCTTGGGCTTGGACACACAAAACTTCGTCAAGGCAGTCCCATGCAATGACATATATGGCTGGCACCAAAGCATTTTGGCAAGCAACAAAGCAAACAACGGGGCCACATACGGGACCTCAAACACGCTGATTCTCCTGATTGTTTTTTGCGCCGCCAAAACACGAACAATTGGAGGATAGCTGTGGTTTCGCGATTCGTCCCCAACCGGACTAAGGGGTTCAAATCCCCAAACCATTGAGTAAGCTGCCACCAGACTCAGCAAATCGACACGACATAGTCGGCGGCGGGTCTTCCTATCTACGAGTAAAAACAAAGGTGCGCAGAAAGACCCGCCAGCGACTAACTTAAAGCAGGCGTCTTGCGGCCCGTGGTGGTAAAACAAACACTTCGCAGTTCAACACGCCCAAAGAATGCCCCATGAAACCCGTTCGATGGTTCCTTGGCTGATCGATTGTTCATGGCACCGTGAGAAACCAGTCATGAGGCTTAAAAGCTGGCCATGGGTTCACTCACACAATGTATACATTTATATATATATATATATATTATATTATCTATATTTATAGTAGGGGAACCTCCAAATTGGGTGGTTCTCTGTGGGTTCCCTGTAAAACTATCCAAAAAGGGTATCCTCAAAGAAAGACACGTCCATATAATCATGTAAACATATATGGTCCATGAACTGAGCGTGTGAATGGCTCCCTTCAAGATCCTTATTGCAAGGGCTTAAAGTTACAGTGGGGTTCTAGGGTACTTCAAAACACTATGAGGTCCTGACCACCTGATAACAATGTGTGTAAATGTCCCGACTCCCAGTGGCCACGGGAAACAAGGACACCCTTTTTGGGCTTGTTTTCCCAGAGAAGCGTTCGCGCGTCTTTGGGATGATGCTTGTTGGCCCAGGCAGTTTCTGCTTTCATATTTGGTTTCCCCTAAACACATGGCTATGAATTCATTGGGAACCCCCCTTTAAAGTGGTTGGTGGACATAAATCCCCACCTAAATGATGTCCACCAGAGGGCCCCTAATTAAGATTCTACCCACATTTTTTGCTGCGACAGGGTAAAGGAGATCCACGCAGGCAGTCCCCGTCGCGTGGACGCTGCAAAGAGATGGTCACCACCTCGATTTCGGCGGCTCCGGGAGCCGCCGGCTCAGCTGCGGGGAAATGGGTGACACAAAGGAAGCTTTGATTTTGAGTTTTCATTTGACCAAGTTGTTTTTGTTTTTTTGGGGGTGCACTATGATTCTGCAAAAGAGACACGGGATCAATTCATCAAGAAAATGGTCTTGATGGGTTTGGGGGTTGGAAAGCCAGGCAAACCACAAATTGGCCTCCCCAGAACAACATATTTGCCCATATGATGCTTGATTGTGCCATCTCCACACGCAATCTGCCTTCCCTTTCTTTTCATCTGACGAATTTCCGCAGCTACCGAACTCAGAATTGGCAAGCAACAAGTGAGGTTCCCCCTTAAGTATCACCTAGGGGAACCATCGGCCAAGCCGAAGGACCTGAACATAAAACAGGTACCCCTTTGAGACTTGAGACCTTGACTGAGAATGGTAGCCCATTGAAATAACAAAAGGTCGCCTCTGTGGGTAAAAACTCCAAAATGTGAGCGATGGCTCCTTGAAACACAACCTTATGGCAGCTGTCTCACTTTGCTATGACCATCTCCACTGTGGACCGAGGCGGTTTTCTCCCTAGCTTCAGTTCAGGTTGATTCGCTTCGCTGTGTCCCAACTCAGGCCCCACTCGATGGAAGCCCTCTTTCCCATTGGCCATTCGGTGAGTGTGGTCCATGTCATCCCCATTGCTAACTGCGATAGATGATGAGCACCTTCTTGCCTTTTAAGGGACCCCCCTCAAAAAAACAACAACAATCGAGATTGATTTTCCGGAGAATTCAACTGGGACACCACTTATTGGGGTTTCACATTTTTTTTAGAGCGGCTGACGCCCGCCCGCGTGCGATGCGAGGCGAGCTGCCTCCGACTGGCGGCCGGCTTCGGCCGGCTGCCACACGCGAACTTTGGCCATGGCCTCGGGAGCGTCGCAGCGTTACGCTAAGCTCTGTTAAACACGTACAACAGCAACAGAGGTATACCTATGCGGTGAATGAGATGTGTCAAAGGAGGAACAGAAACAAAGGTAGTACTTATGCTGCGGTGAATTGGAATGTGTCTAACTAGGAGGAACCCCAGATGCTGGTTTCCTTTTGGTCTCCGTTTAAGCCAGCCCGAAAAGGGGACCCTACAAAACACCCACACGTGGTTCATAAATTGATATGCACTCAAAATTGGCAAACTCGGCTAGCGCTGGTCTTGGGCCTTAGCGCACAAAGCAACGCCTCCAAAAATCATCGGTCACTGGCCACACCGTGCGGATCATTCGCCAGCATTTCTGAGGTCCCTGATCAGAGTTCAGAGGCATGCAGGTTTGTGTGCACCTGGCAGTACTCCCCAACATCAGTGCAGCGTATATTTCTTGTTGAAAGAGGCACCCCCAAAAGGATTTCCCTCCAAAGACAAACCCGGGCTCCATATTTCTTGCAGTAACCACCAAGCACACCTCTTCCTGAATGGGGCGTGTTTCAGGCTCCACCTCTTCGCTTTCTCAAGGGCAAGGCTATAGACTCCAAAACTCACATCCTTCAATGGAAATCCAGGTCAACGCCTCAGCAACCGATACAGCAAGCAAGTGGCACCAACTCCCTGCGTCTATTTTGCCCGGGATGCCTTTCGAGAGCGCCACCAAACCCGAAGCAAGCATTCAGCGAGTGCCCTACCCACGGTGCTATGGAACCTGACTGGAGGTTGTGGGTTCCATGCCAGGAGGGTAAATGATGGCCAAGAGTCTGTGGGGGCTCCTTACTTGTCCTTTCTGCCATCTGCTTGAGGTACCACAAAGAGAACTCTTTGCCAGTCATGCCCATTTCCCATTTTAAGGCGGGAAAAAGTACAACATCCCTAACTCAAAAGAATGAACATGGACAAAGTCCCTTGCTGGAAATTGCGGGAACAGGGCCAAACCTGTGCTCAACTACATTGACCTCCGGGAAACCTTGCTGTGCACTGGGTGATGTGTCCTGAGCCTGTCGCATGGGAAGCTGCACAAATCAGCAAGTGACGCCCATTGCCAGGCGCGCGTGCCAAGGCAACCGCATATGCCTTTATATGTTTCTTAATATGATACATATACTTACATAGATTCATTTGAGATTCATATAACTAGGCATGTGCTCAGATTAGAGGATATAGCAAATGTATGAACGTGTCGTGTGCAATCAAGTGCAATCAAATATGACAAATCATGCAGTTGGCACCTTCAGTACTTGGCAAATCTTGCCAACATGTCTTTTTGGATTCGCCGTCCAAGCACCGAAATTATCGAACCCATGATGGACAAACTCAGCCCCACTTACAGGCAGCCCGGGTCTCAACGCTGAACAGTCATGTCTGCGCTGCTCTGTGTCTAACATGTTGCAGTGATAGCTTTGGGTGCGGGGTATTTTCTTAGATGCTTGCTTGCCAGCTTTATGTGCTTTTCTGTTCCAAGCTAACCTGATTGACCGCCTCATGACTCGGATCATACTCGGGCCTTGAGAAAGCAGCGCCACGCACGTTTGCGGGAAGCGACCATTTGCACGACACGAAACTAACGTGGCCTACGGCACTCCTGGCTGATTATCTTTGCTATGCATTGCTGCGAGAACATTTAATTTGATTTGTTGTCTCCGGACAATCACTTCCCTTGTGGCGCTTAAACTTGAACTGAGATCCTTCGGTTCCCTCGTCTAACACAAGCCAGGGAGTGGCCTTGCTGTTCGGTCTGAGTTGTTTGGACACCCGTGGTTGCCAGTAGACTGTCTTCCAACTGGAACTTGCTGCGTATCTTGCGCAGCTGTTGCTTGTTGTGATTTGCAGTAACTCCCGGTCTGCCGGGATGCTTGTCTCTGCTCTTCGCAAGCTGTGCCGGGAGCGATTTGCTGGGCAAGCCGGCAAATCCCATCCCCCGTCATGTCCTGCGGTTCCATCCGTGCGCAGTGACCTGGCCTTGGATCTCGTATACCTCCAACTCATCCCAGGCATCCCTGTCAAAAAGCACTGTAAAGAGATCCTTGTTCAAAGCTAAACCCCCAGTACCATTCGGGCTGGGAATGTGATTTAGACAAGACTCAGGAGATCCTGGACAAATCACATCTCCACATGCAAATGTAAAACACAAAAACATCAGGATTAAGACTTTCATGTTGAGAGAACACACCGTCAGGGGTGATTCGATTTGGAGGAGACTCAAGGAGACTTGTCTCCTTGTCGTCAACTATGCAATCCAACGTTGCAAACTGTACAATGTTTCCAAAACCTGAAATAAGACACCCCAGGTTCAAACCCCCTGAATGCCCAATGCCCCCAGACCAGGTTCATAAAGCAATCCAAACTATCCTGCTCTTGTCAAATTCAGGTTGCATTCGCAAAGATCGGCGATTGGCTTTTGCTTCGTTGCTCGCACTGTGAGACCTGAAAGCAACCTTTTCGTTGGCTGTAAAGCCCTCAAAGCTCGTTTGAGAAAACAGCTTGCAGGAAAATGTCAATGTGGGTTTGTCGCCAAAGGCAAAACCCTGTTGAAGCAACCCAGCATGGCAACCAATGGATGTCCGATCACCCTCGCCAGCCAACCCGAGTTGGCACATGTCTCACTGACTCATCCCAGGGAGTGCCTGTTGACCTACGAAAATGGAAAGACCCGGGGTCAAGAGGCAGACTTTGACGCATGTTGCTTTGCCCAGAATGTGTTCATGTATTTCCCAGGCAACTTGGCAGCGTCCTGACAAACTCCCGGAGGACAGCCCAAAGAACTGTCCGTAGGAGTACTTCTTGGTAGGTTTTGTGGGCGGCAGCTTGTTATTCAAAGGAACGGGTTACCTCTAGACACCGTTGCTCACCAAGGCTTCATGTGGATGTCGTTTTTGATACCATTTTGGGTCCTGCTGATTGTTGTTTCATTACAGAGCAAGGTCTGTACCCCCCGCCCCCTGGAGTCCGCCAATTTGATGTGTGTTCTACCAGCGTTCTGTGGTGCCTGTTTTCCGGTTTAGCCCCTGCGTGTTCCCAAAAGTTGCACCCTTTTCTGAGCCTGATGCCATTTGTTTGCCCTTCCCCCAAGTCGATCGCTCCTTTCCTCGAGGCGGGCGACATGCAAATGGCTCAAGCTCTGCCTTTGTGTTGGTCGCTTTGCTTGGCTCTCCCATCGGTAGATATTATTGATTGCCAGTTGGGGTTGTCCGAGTGGTCCGTCTGCCGAACCAGGGAAGATGTATCTAAACGCCATCCACTGAACAACTGTGTCTCAACTGAGAAAATGAATCAGGAGAGCCCTCCTATAGATTCCAAATCGTGGATTGACTGCGTATATGTGTGTCAATTCAAAATCTGGAAAGGCAAGAAGAAGGCGAAGTGAGCCATGATCAAAACCAAATGCTGGCGCTGAGTGGGGGACTCACTGACGATCTGCTGACAACTGAAAGGATAACTGAATAAGTGGATTCCCATTACAATGGGGATAATCACAGGGCTCCACTTTTTGACCTTGAACCCAGGGATTCTCCTTTCTTGGGGAATGCACCACCCCTGGGTTTAAGTCAACCCTGGTCAAAAAGTGGGGCCCTGAAAAGATCGCGGCCCAGTCCTGCACTCTCAGGACTGTCCCTTCACCTTCAGATACCTCGGCTTTGATTGTGGCTCACGAGCTCTTGATGTTCCGCCGACGCCGCCGATGCCGCCTATATTTACAATGTGAGAACCGAGGAGCCGAGAGCCCCTGGGGGCAGAGTTGGGTGATTCCGCCGGCGTCAACAAACCAGGTGCTGTGCACCCCCACTTCCTTCCTGAGAGGACTGGGCAAGAAAGTCCGGACTTTTTGGTTGCCACCGGTCTTCCAAAACAGCTCAAAGTCCAGGAACTCAGGGAGTGAGGGTGTAGGAACCTCTAGGCAGGTTGTGGGTTGACAACTCCATCTGCACGAATGACTGCAACTCCCCGGCCTTCATCATGGGTGAGGCTAGGCAATCTTACCCCCAGCTGAAAGTGCATGAACATGTTGAGCCATTTGAACGTCCTCTTTTAGTTGTCCATTCGAAGAGGTCTTTGGGTGTAAGCCCCAAACAACCTCCTCTTGCCCGCCCTCCATGTAGATCCTTCTAATCTGCCCTAATCGTAAATCGGGAATCACGCCCGGACTTGCTACTTTTATGGGCTTGATCGAATCAACATATCCCAAGCCTGCCCCGGAATCTTCCTCATTCCGGCCCCAAAGGGCCATGATGCACCAACTTGCAGGTTGCTATGCGGTTGTTTGCTCGTTTATTATCTTCCCCTTTCATCACTTTGCAGGGAAGCTCATTTCAATGGCAACCCAAAATGCGACGTGTAAGATGTAGGTTGGAATTTGTTGTCCTCTGCTGGAATCCATGCACTTTAAAAGGGACCTTGCCTGAAAAGGGGACGTGCCCTTTAGTTTTAGTTGGGATACAACCGACCAAATCTGATCTAGACCCTGCTTCTGTTGCGTGGAGACACATGTCCGAAGTGTGTTTGGTGCACTGGGACCGGAAAAGTACGAGCAGTCACAGCATCTCGTCAGGCATAGACCTGCAGCAGGAGAATGGAACCTTCCAGACCAGAGGTTTCAGCAACTGGGCGGGGGGGGGGGCAGGTGGGGCAATGGAACAACAAGGAGCAAATTTTCAAAACTGGGTTAAGCAAGCACCCAGAACGCGTTGAAACCGTTGTAACATCCGTCAAGTTCTTAAATGATCCTGGGCCTGGCTGCTTCAAGACATGGGGATCTATCACTGTCGCACATACTGAAACTGAAAGGGCTTGCAGCCGGGAACAAAAAGACATTTGACAAGGACCAAATTGGGCCAAACGGACCCCAACATCTAACTACTTTAAGTCGAACAGCCCCCTTCTAAGAAATTTTCTTGGCCAAGCTAGACTGCAACCGCACAACCCGACTGCACGCGGAGCCTCAAGCAT